GCAGCATTATTCACAATAACCAAGATATAGAAACAACCTAAATGTCTATCAATAAATGAATGGAAAGAAATATATACACACACACACACATGCACACACATACACACACAACAGAATATTATTCAGCCTTAAAAAGGAAGGAAATCCTACCATATGCAACAACATGGATGGACCTGAAAGACATTATGCTAAGTAAAATAAGACAGTCACAAAGACAAATTCTGCATGATCCCACTCATATGAGCTATCTAAAATAGTCAAACTAATAGAAACAGAATAGAATGGTGGTTGCCTGGGGCTAGGGGAGAAGGGAGAAACAGCAAGTTATTTAACGGGTATAAAGCTTCAGTAATGCAGATGAATAAGTTCTAGAGATCTGAACAATATAGTGCCTATAGTTAATATTGTATTGTACACAGAAAAATTTAAGAGAGTAGACCTCAACTGTTCTTACCAACCCCCGCCCAGGCCCCTGCCCCTGGCACACACACATGGGAGAAGCGGGGAGCTTTTGGAGATGATGGATATATTTACTACTTTGATTATAGTGATGGTTTCATGGGTATATGCATATGTTCAAACTCATCAAATTGCATACATTAAATATGTGTAGCTCATATGTTAAGCACACCTCAATAAAGCTATTTTAAAAATAAAAGTGCTAAAGAAAGTTTTCTTTAAATAACCTCAATCCTTTATTTCCATAATAGTACCTTACATGTAATGGCATCCCCATATTCATTAACCTGACTGATTGATGCTTGTTTCATGAATAGCTGTACTTTATACTTATCAGAAGCCCTTGGAATGAGCACAGGTCAGTGTTTTGGATTTTCTTGTGTACTTTCTGTCTTTGTTAATATAAGAGGCAAAGTAGTCATTCTAGCATTGTAATCTACTTTTTTTAAGCAAAGTCATCTAATAAAGATTTCATCAGTTTTTTATTTGAACTAAACCTAAATCCAGGCCTAAGCCTATTATTATATTGACTTTCCTTCAGTTGGGAAATGATAAAACAGTAAAAATGCAGACATTGTTCATGATCAAGGAGATAAATAGTACATATCTTTTTTTCAAGTTCACAGGCTGTCTGCTTCAGCAAAATAATATACAGCATTGTGAGTCACCAAGTCTTCTTTCCTCACATTTCAGATCACTTCTTCATTACCTCTTTGCTAACTCCTCTCCTCATTCTACATTATTTATAATTCCACTTTATTCTAAATATGTTATAGAATTAATTCTTAGTCTCTCACCCTCTTAATTCTTTGTGTACACCTTTTTACCTTTTGAAGTGTTATGTTAACATTTTTTAACAATCTCAATGCTAAATATCATAGACTCACAGCATCAGCTGGGAATGCTGCATCTGAAAGATCAGGCAAATTGGTATTTGGTGACAAGAGCGCTTTATCTCATTGGCACTAAAACTAGAGATGAAAAAGAAAGATGAGGATTGTATGACGCTCCCTTTCTTCTCCTTCTCCCTCTTATCTTTTATTCTTTTTTCCTGCAGATGGGTGCGTGTGTGTGTGTGTGTGTGTGTGTGTGTGTGTGTGTGTAAGGAAAGAGAAAGAGGAGAAAGAGGGATAGAGGAAGAGAAAAGGAAAGCAAGAGTTGGATAATAATAATTGATAAAATGTATACAGCTATCATTTAATTGGAAAGAAAAGTACATAGGAGACATACAGGGTTGAAATAGGACAGGGAGAAGTAGACCTTTTGGATTAAGGAAATGGAGTTGAATCACAGAATCCAAGATTGCAGTATTCTAAATTAGTCCACATATATGTATTTCTTCAGGCTTTCATTTACAGCCTACCAGTAATGCTGAGTAGCACACCCACTGCATTTCCACATGAGCAAGCTGATTTTTGGAATAGCCCCTTCTGTCTCTTCCCTCTTTCTGGCCTCCTGTTCTCTAAATTGTAGACACCCAGAATGGTCACATTGAACTCTGGCTTTCCAAAACCTTTTGATACTCTCTGTCAACCCTTTTCTTCTTTCCAGTCCCAAATCAATTCTTATTCCCAGACTGTGCAAGTAGGTGTTTGGCCTGGTTATCTAGTTTAAATACTCAAATGAGTCCATTTCTGTCCAACAGATATACTTTAAAGGATGAGGTTGTTCACTCTAGTGGGTCTCCATGTGTATTTTCTGAATCTTGAGTAAGTGACTTTTCATCAGATTCCCAGAGGAACCCACCCCCAGAACAATTAAAATATAATCACCTAAGTGGCAAAATGCACATGGGAACTATTTTTGAACCGGTATACATATGTAGGTTCCTGACTTAATTGGAGTACCTCTCACCTAGTTAGAGGACCACTCATACACCACTCACTCCCATCAATCCAGAAATCTGATCAGTCTTACAGTCTTCCCCCACTCTCCCCTCACTTTTGCAAACAACATACCTCATAGTGGAATAAGGTATTGCTTGGGGAGAGGGAAGAGCAGAAGCACATTGAGCAGTGGAGGTCCCAAAAGCCATCTTGCACTAAATATATATATTTATATAGTGTATTTTATTTTAAAGAATATATTATCTATAATGAATATATTTACACATTTATTATGTATATTTATTATATTATATGTTACATATTTATTATATATTTTTTAAAAATAAAATACACAATATATTAATTTTCATTAAAAAATTAAAACCACAGAAAAGTTTTACCTAGATTTATCAATTTAACATTTTGTCACATTTGCCTTACCTATCTGTGCTAAACCATTTGAAAGTAAGTTGCATATATCAAAAGGTTTTTTTTAGACAGAGTCTCACTCTGTCACCCAGGTTGGAGGGCAGTGGCGCCATCTCCACTCACTGCAACCTCCACATCCCAGGTTCAACTGATTCTCCCACCTCAGCCTCAAGAGTAGCTAGGATAACAGGCGAGTACCACCACGCCCGGTTAATCTTTGTATTTGTAGTAGAGATGGGGTTTCACCATGTTGGCCAGGCTGGTCTTGAACTCCTGACCTCAAGTGATACACCCATGTTGGCCTGCCAAAGTGTTGGGATTACAGGTGTGAGCCACTGTGCCCAGCCCACAATTTTATACCTAACTAGTTTAGTGTGTATCTCTTAATAAGAGATACTTTTTTATAATCACAGTACAATTTTAAAAATCAAGAAGTTTAACACTGAAACAATATCTAATATGTAATCTATAGTCAAATTTCAGAATAGTTCTGAAATACTCCTTTATAGCATGTTTTTCCAAGATCACATGTTGCCTTTAGTGGCATGCCTTTTTAAATCCCTTAAATCTAGAATGGTTCCTCAGCCTCTCTTTGGTTTTCATGACATTGCTGTTTTTTAAGAATACAGGTCAGTTGTTGGGTAGAATGTTTCTCAGTTTGCATCTTTCTGATTGGTTCTAGATCATAATATGCATTTTTGACAGGAATAATACATAAGAGATATTGTAACCTCAGTGCCTCACATCAGGAGGCACGTGGTGTCATTTTATCACATAATTGGTGACATTAATTTTGATCATTTGGTTAGGATGGTGTCAGATTTCTCCACTGTAAAGGTACCTTTGTTAACCCTTTATCATGAATAAGAAATCCAAAGACTATGCAAATATCTTGTTCTCCGGCCAAATTTCACTCAATGATCTTAACATCTATTGATAATTCATGTCAGAATCCATTATTACTGTAATGGCCAAACTATTTGCTAATTGTCATTTTTCTAACATATATTAATTGGCATTCCACCGTCATTTCACTTCTCCCCCCTTTATTTATTTAAAAGTTAAAAGCAAGTATGCTCTATGGGTTCTTTTTAAAAATTCAATGTGTTAGAATCCATTTCCACCATTATTTATTCTTGATTCTCAAATTGTCTCAGATTTGGTAAGGGTGAGCGCCTTCAAGACATCTCTTTTCTTTTGACATATCTTCCTTGACATAGCAAAGAAACCTCCCTGCTTTAAGGCACAGGATCTTTCAAGGGCATTTTGTACTTTCCCTGTCTCTGCCCTCGAATCAGCCTTCTCGCCACGGAGTCTGGCTCCTTTAGGTGAAGAATGGTATTTAGAAACCAAGATATGAAGGCACATAATACATTTCAAAATATTAAAGTGTCATTGTCCCTGTTTCCTTGGGTCATATTTGGAAGCGTGGTGTGATTTATAATTCTACCTCTAGCATTAGCTGTGTGACCTTGGCAATTCCCTTTTTTCCTTGCGGTCTGCTTCGTCCTCTGGAGAAAAAAAAATTGGATTACAGAAATATTTCTTAACATTTTCAGGGTCACCAACACGTTTGGGAATCTGATAGAAGCTACGAGTCCATCTCCGCAGAGACATGCTCACATAAGCAAAAACTGGCCTATGCTGTAGGGAGTTCCAGACTCGGAAGCTCATTTGAGGCTCCAAATCTCTTGGAATAAGTGATCTCCAAGGTCTCTTCAGCGCTGACATTCTGTGAGTCTATAAGCGACCGTACTGCTGTCAGAATGACTCCTCGGAGACATCAAAGCGTAGAGGGGTTTATTATATATAGAAACGAGATGAGAAAAGGATACAAAGAAAAGAGCCTGTGAGCAACGCATTGCTCAGCCACAGTTCTTTGCAGGTGCCAAATTTAGGGCTGGTTGTACCTGTAGGTGAGAGGTTTTGGCGGGAAGGTCCCCGGGTGGGCGGAGAACGCCGGGATCGGGAAGGAGACCTCAGGCCGCATCCAGGTCTCTGCACCGCTCTGCACGGTCCGCCAGGGCTCGCTCTTGCCCTTTGCCTGGAAGGCCGAGGAAAGGAGCGGGCCGGGCGGCGACCCCGCCCCTGGCAGCGGCGAGGCAGAGAGGCGAGGGGAGGGCGTCTGAGCCCGGAAGGAGTGCGCTGGTCCGGCCCGCGCCCCTCCCCGCGCGCCTTTCCCCACTCTCCCCCTCCCGCCGCCGACAACGGCGGTGCTCTGGTCGCCATGGTGACCAATCCAGGCCCGGGCCCGCCCCCGCCCCCCTTCCCCGGCCCCCTGACGTCGGCGCACGTCAGCGGCGGCGCGCGCCTGGCTGGGCCCTGCGGAGCGGGAGGGAAGGAGCGAAGGAGCAAGCGGAGCGGCCGTCGCCCAAGCCGAGACGCGCTGCCAGCCCTCCCGCCTGCCCGCCCGCGCTCCTGTCCGCCGTGTCTAGCAGCGGGGCCCAGCATGGTCATGGCGGATGGCCCGAGGCACTTGCAGCGCGGGCCGGTCCGGGTGGGGTTCTACGACATCGAGGGCACGCTGGGCAAGGGCAACTTCGCCGTGGTGAAGCTGGCGCGGCACCGGATCACCAAGACGGAGGTGCGGCCCGGGGCTTGGCGGGAGCGTCGGAGGCGAGGGTTCGGGAGAGGAGCTGCTTACAGAGAGGGGCGGCCGCAGTGGTGGGACGGGGGAGCCCCGAGAGGCCGCGCCACTGGCGGAGGCGAGTGGGCCTGGGACTGTGAGGACCCAGGAGGTGCAAGGGGGTCGGTGAGCAGCGAAGGGATTGGGCCCTGACACCCGGACCCGAGAGTCGTCCGACTGGAAACGCCATCAGCCGGGGCTTTGCTTTCCCCTACGCCACCCGCGGTGGCCACCCGGAATTTCGCCCAGAGCCCCCCAGTCGGGCCGTGACCTGGTCTGTGGCCTCCGCTCCGGAGCCCAAGTTCCGCGTCTTCCCTGCTTTCGGCTGGGGGTGGGGTGGGAGGGGAAGTCTCGGTGTTCCCAGGCTGCGCCGTGAGAGACGTCGCCGGCCCGAGGAGGGGACCGCCTGTGCTTGGGCTCCGCGGATGGGGGACCGTGCGGCCCCCGTGACCCCAGCGCCCCTCCCCTGCCTAGCGAGGAAGGTCCCCGTGGCTGGGAATGTCCGCACGGCCACTGTCCATCTTCTCTCCTTCTTTTTGCCCCACGGTGTCTCTAATTTGGTGTCTGGCTAGCTTGATCTCTTGCCTGGGGCATTTCCATTTAATGCTCCAGACAATAGAACTGGTTAAAATGGTCATCTCTGCACTTGCACAGTAAGTGGGTTGATCTTTCTTATATAGGGTTGTCCCTGTACCAGGTGTGCATTCTGGCTGTAATACGCATTCTTTAAACCACATCAGATTCTGCCTCTACTCATAAAGCCCTCAGCTGCTTCCTGACGGTGAATCCTGCACTCTCTTCATTGCACATTCTAATGCACCGCACATATTCTCTCACAAGTCTCTGTTCTTACCTAACCCGCCCCCCTTCCTTCCACTGCCTCAAGCTGCTCTCCTCAGGGTCTCTATTTTAAGACGTGCAAATTAAATACCTTAGAAGAACAGTAGAAACAAAACCATTCTTTAGAATAAAACCTAGTCGTTTTGACATGCTCTACTCTGCCTTATTGTAGTTCCTCCTGGAGTTTCATCCTTTTCCTGTGTGTGTGTGTGTGTGTGTGTGTGTGTGTGTGTGTGTGTGTTTGCCCTCCGGTTTTGCTCCTATTCTCCTCTTGCCCTTATTAGTACGAATGTACTAGAGTTTGAATGTAGCGTAAAGTAGGACTTTTTCAGAATGACTTATATAAGGCGAGGGGCACTTACAAACCTGAGTGATTTTTATAGTTGCAGTTGTACTTAGAAGTTTTGCTTAATGCCCATTTCCAGAAGGAAGGGGTATATGTCATTCTGTCTTCTTTACTTTTTGCCTTCCTCTGCTGATCCTGAAACGGTCCAAATCTGACTTGTCTTTTAGAATAAGGACCAAGGTCAGATATTTTCTTCTCACACATTTACCTGTTAGCAATTTAGATGCTTTGTAATGATAATGGTAACTTGACTATAGTGATACTGATAAATCTTTGCATAGTTTAATCTGATCTCAGTATTTTTTAAAATGAAGAAATCGGTTCCATTCCTCTGCAGAGCCATGGCCTAATGCCATGGCATTTCCCTTTAAGTTACATAAAAGAAGGCATTTTAAATGCACATTTTATGAGCCCTTGCTTAATGTCTTTCTAAAAACAAACAAACTGTGAGTTATAGCGAAGTCCTACAAAACTTTTGAACTGTAGTATATTGTGTGGTTGAATTCCAAATCCATCAGTTGACAATATTTTTTTCTCATCGGCTCTTACCGGGATTAGTAGCAAGATTTAATTAAGTCATCTATTATTTATCAGGTCAAATTTAGTTAATACAGTATCTATTTAAGAGCTTCGTAAGTAGAATGACACTATCTTGAGATTGACAATTCAAATGGTGTCCCTTTTAAACTGATATATCTTAAAGAGCTAGGGGGCACTATGGAGTAACGTCGTGGTTTGGTTATCTGAGTAAGATCAGTGCATTCATTTGTAATTGAAAGCACTGGTCAGATCGTGCAAGAGGACTTAGATCCTAAATCATGTGTGTAGTATCTGTGTGTGAATTGATTGACGTTAAAAGCTAACTGTTTAGTCCACAGAACCCATTTCCCTTGTGCTTTTCTGAAGAAGTTGTTATTAACATATAAAAAGAAATAGTGTGAATTTGACTTGGGTGAATGTGAGTATCTGTAATTTGGTGGGTATGATTGGAGATACTAAGGTAGAGAGGGGTAAGTAAAATGTCAAAGCAATTGAACAGAAAAGTTCTATAGATCTCTAGGTTGTAAAGTTGTTCTGAATTTTTTTTTTTTTTTAAGATGGAGTCTCGCTCTTGTTGCCCAGACTGGAGTGCAATGGTGCAATCTCCCCTCACTGCAACCTCTGCCTCCGGGGTTCAAGTGATTCTCCTGCCTCAGCCTCCCAAGTAGCTGGGATTACAAGCGCGCATCACCACACCTGGCTAATTTTTTGTGTGTGTTTTTGGTAGAGACAGGGTTTCACCACGTTGGCCAGGCTCCTTTCGAACTCCTGACCTCAAGTGAGCTGCCTGCCTCAGCTTTCCAAAATGCTGGGATTACAGGCGTGAGCCACCTTGCCGACCCGGTTGTTTCTTAAATTATTCCACTGGAGTAACAATTCCATTGTTAATGAGGTTTTTTTTAACAGCAGTTATTTATCCTTATTCATTCGCTGGATAAATGTATTTTTTAATAAATAAAACTACCTTAAAAACTGTAAGATGGCTACTGAAAACTTTTGTTTTAAATTCAGTTCTCGTTGCTGAACATACTACAGTAGTTATCGTGAGAACAATGAATATGGTATAAATAAAATATCAGCAAAATATCACAATTATACTTATTACTAATAAAAGTTTCTTCATATACTATGCTTTAACATCGATACAAGTTTGTCTTTTAAAACTTAGAGGTATTTTTTCCCCAGGTTAGATCCTGAGGCAAATTTTAGGTCTCAGACATCTATGTAATGAACATTTGGACTCTTATTTTTAATTGGCTCTTCTCTGTCTCTTGTTCTATGTCACTCACAAATGATGTATATCTACGGAACTTGGGAGATTCAAGTCTCTCTTTTAGAAAAAAAAATAGTAGACAAATTTTGGTCAAATCTATCATTTTGGTCAAATCTATCAAATAGTTTAACATTGTTTATGAAATATAATTACATCATCATCTGAAGTGGTATTGTGTTAGTTCTCTATGTGAATTTTGCACACAAAAGGGAAGACAGGTGGTGGTAGAATTCAGCTTCCTAATACACTTTGTAAAAGCTTTGTAGTATTAGTTTGTGGTTTATGAATTAGAGATGCTAATTTTATAAAATTAGGATAATGGGAAAAGATTAATAGCATGTAAGCTGTTAAACTTTCAGGCAGTAGTGGTTACTTGTTTGCTGTTCTGCGAGTGTTCTTAAGCAGTTTATTTTACCAATACTATACAATACTAGGAAATAACTTTTTCCTTGTAGTTAATGGTATAGCTAGTTTTTTGTCTCTTAAGTAAAATTCTAGAAAAGCCAGTTGTACACTTAAATTTTTTTGTATTCTATTTAAGAAATAGTTTCTTTCTTGTTGTTCAGGACGAAAGAAAGAAAAATAAATAAATAAGTAGTATCTTACTATAATATAAAAAATAAGAGTATAATGAACAAAAAAGTGTACATATAATTCCTCCACCAATGGGAATAACCCATCTTTAACATTATGACACTAGTCTTTTTATTTAAATGCATTTTTTCCACATGAGAGCACGTGGTACATATATATAAATTTTGTTCTTTTTTTCAACTTAATATTATAATATAAGCATTTTGCTTATTATATATAAGTTTATAAAGACATTTTTGTTAGCTGCATGGTGTTCTACCTTGTGGATGAATATCATTTTACCTAACAATTCCCTTATTGATGAATATTATATAGTTTTCAGTTTTTGTTTATAGCAAATAATTTGCAGTGAATATTTTTGTGTCTATAGCTGTGTGTACATTTTACATTTTTGGGGAGGGGGAGGAGGAATTGCTGGTAAAGTCCGAAAAGGAAATTTACTAAGTAACAAGGTATTATGTTTACATTAAAGAGTAGTGTATTTTTATTACCAAATCTGTCATGTTTATTATTGAAAAATTAAAAGTATAAATAGGAGGCCAGGCTAGATGGCTGACACCTGTAATCCCAGCACTGTGGGAGGCCCAGGCAGGTGGGTGTTTTGAGGCCAGGAGTTCAAGACCAGCCTGGTCAATATAGCAAGACCCAGTCTGATTAAAACACACACACACACACACACACACACACACACACACACACTCTATAAATAAATGAAAAGAATTCCCCGTAAAATCACAACCCGAGAGATAGCCATAGCTAGTTATTTTCAGACCTTTTCTATGGTAGATAACTGAGTTTTTCTCAATACCATAACTCTTATATTGCTTAGCTAAAGAGCATGGAAATGTATAGTCTATGGAATCTTAAAGATATTTCATAGAGATTCTATAAATGACCTTATTAAAATGGCATGTGGGTGTTAGGCTGCTTACTTACCCAAAGAGAACTTGGAATGCAAAACTGTTAACAAGGACATTCTGAAAACTGCATTTGTTTGCTGGAAAGCTTTCTATATGCATTTTGGGGATTTTATAGTTAGACATAATTCTTTACTACCTTAAAATGTAAGATTTGTTAAAGGTTTTCAAAATTGTTAAGGTATTAAAATTGCATTTTTATAGCAAAGGTAGAAACAAGAGAAAGGCATATTACACCCTGATTATGATGTTTCTTGAAGAGAACTCATTTTTAAAATACTTTTGAATTTTCTATTTTGCTTTAAAATTAATTTTAAGGCTCCTTTCAGCAGTCTTGGTATTAATCTTGTACTATGAAATATTCCAAATATCAAGAAGCAACTGTACTATGTGCAACAGAAGCACTTGTTAGCAAGTAACTCAATCACTGATATTTGTATCTAGTCTT